GGCCTCAGACTCAGGCCGGTCCCCGCGCCGAAGCCGGACTCGAGCTCGGCCGGCCTCCCCCGCCGCCCGAGGGCTGCGCGCGGCCCGCGGGCCTCGTCGCCCGCGTGGATCGCCGCGGCCCGGCCGTCCCGTCCCAGGAAGTGGCCGTCTTGACCGCCATGGCTCATTCCCCGGTGCAGTCGGGCCTGCCCGGCATGCAGGTAGGCAGGAGCCGGGCCGCGAGGGGAGGGAGGGATGCGCGGGCCGGGGCGGAAGCGGGGAACTTGGCGGTGTAAACACGGCCCCCCCCCCCCCCCCCCCCCCCCCCGCGGGCGCGCCGGCCTCCCGCGCCGCGCTCCAGCCCTCAGGCCGCCCCTGCCCGGCGCCGCGGCCCGAGAGCTCGGGGGCCCGGGGGCGGGGGGCTGGGGGGGGGGGGGGGGGTGCAGGGACATAGGGGCCGCGGCCTGGAGGCGCCCTCGCTGGCCGGGAGCCGGGGCAGTCGGGCAGGGATGTTGGGGAGCCGGCCGCCTCGCCGTCCCCGCCGGCCTCTCCGCACGCCGCCTCCCGAGCCGCAGGCCTGGCGCCGGCCCGGTCCCTGGGAGAAGTGATGGGGAGGAAATGCCCTTGGAGGCCCCGGCCGGGTCTGTGGGCTCTGCGCGCGGGCGGGGGGCGGTGGAGGCCCCGTTCCCCCGCGAGCAGGCGATAAAGTTGAGAGACGGGAGGGGAGCCCCGGGCGCGCCCCGACTCGTCCTGGGCCGGGCCGGGCCGGGCGGAGGAGGCAGGGCGGGGTGCGGGAAGGTGTGACCGCCAGCGCCTTTGCTCGCGCCTTTCCTTCTGGGGCCAATTGAGGGGAAAGTGCGAGCCTGCAAACCTTCTGGAAGGAGGAATCAGTCGGACAGCGTGTACTCCGGTTGTCCCGAGCCGAGGCTGACCCGCCCGATCTCTGGACACTGGGCTTTCACTTGGGAACTTGATTGGATCCAGACGAGCTCCTTCCCAGTAAATCTCTCCGTTGCTACTCTGTGGTATCTTGGCTTACCAGTGACTTTTTTTGGACGGGGGAGAAGTTGAATTTCAAAAGTACGCGAACACAGTAAAGTTTTTTTCGCCTTTGGGGACTGTTTTTAGCCTTTTGAAAAACAGAACCACTTGGCTCTCGTTAATTTATCTTATTTGTAGGCACATAAATGGTGGCAAAATAATTAGGATTAAAATCTCATGATAAGAGCAAGAGTAGGTCTTTATTGCTGCCCCAGTTTTAGTTTAGCGAGTGAGCATAAAGAGCTTTAAAAAAACAACCACGGTATCCAAGTGGATTATTTGTTATTTTACAGGCATCCGCGGGCTCATTTTTTCTTCTTCCCTTGCATGTTAGGGCTGAGAAGTGCGGTGTTTGGACCTGGCATGTTAGGGGCTGAGAATTGAATCTGCCCCATCTTATGAGACCTATCATCCCCACCCCCTTTCTGTAACCATAAAAAGAAAGCTGGATTTCATTGTTCAGGTTTGAAATCTAGAAAACTAGGAACACAAAGCTACCAGAATTTTAGCGTGAGGGGTGTGTGTGTGTGTGTGTGTGTGTGTGTGTGTGTGTGTGTGTGTGTTTTCTTTAAAGGAGTAACAAAGTTAATATTTTAAGAGTGTACTGGAAGAAAACTGTCCTTGAATCTCATTTAAAGATCTTTTAAACTCAACAGGCATTTCATATCTAGGCTTCTGCTGACTGCTAGGTAAAAATCAGATGTGGTTTTTTTTGGTATTTCCTAAAGTTCCTGCTTTAGTTTGGTTGGAATTGAGAGGCAGGAAGGCAGGGTGAACTGGGTGAAAAATTATTCCTGACCAGTAGAGCAAGAAGGACCTCTTGAGTTAAAAACGTTTTTTTTTTTCATCAGTATTTCCTTTAGACTGACAGTGTTAATCAGGTTGTAATCTGGTAGAGATGCCTCACTTAAGAGTTTACAGTGGAGGCATGGGGCCTTTGTGGAAAGTGAATCAGTTTAAAGAGGTACTTAAAAGCCCTGCTGGCTGGTGGCGTGAAGTCAGTATCGGATGGTCCCCCAAGGCTGTCTGTTCTCAACACTTCTTTTTGTCAGTTTTTCCTTTTTTTGTCTTGGAGAGTGTGGGCCAACATCTTGGAAAGAGAAGGTAAATTTCTGTTACAAGGAAACTGTTTTTGTTTGGTGGAGACCACCGAATTTTCAGCTGTCACAGTTTTGGGGGGTGTGCAGAGGTGGCCTGTGACATTTCGGTACTTAAGTACATTTGCAAACTGTGTACTTGTTTTTAGTGTGCCTTTTGGGGAAGAACATTCCTTTCCTCTCCCTTCTCCCAAAAAGAAAAACAACAAACACATTTGGTTTCTACTTTGAATTAGCCGTTGCTGCTGCCCAGGGAGGCTTTCCTTAAATTGTTGAGGATTAAGGGAAAGGCACACCCGCTTTGACTGTTCTCTGGGATAAAACAAGAGAGAAGTACTAACCCCTCTGTGCCCGGTCCTGATACATTCCATCCCTCCCTTTTCTTCTCTCTCATCTTGTGAACAGGGCTTATAAGGAGTTGGGTTAAACATTTCAGAGAGGGGTCAGTTGGTTTAAGTGTCCAACTCTTGATCTCAGCTCAGGTGTTGATCTCACGGTGGTGAGTTCAACCCCCAATTTGGACCTCACACTGAGCGTGGAACCTACTGAAAAAAAATTCAGACTGCAGAGTGAATTCAGGCAGCCTGAATTTAAGTATCATAAAGATACTTAAAAAGTAAACCTGGATGAAAGGACGTTTTAGTGTAAACATCATCTTGTCTTGCAAATCGTTTTTGTGCCTTCTAGATTTTTATTGGAACCTCTTGAGGCATAGGTATTATTTATGCCATTTTTCTAGAGGTGGAGGCCAACAGAGACTAATTGAACTGACCAAGGTGAGGTAGTATATTTGGCAAATGTGTGATTTGAAGAGATCTTTCCTGTCTCCAAGACCATACTTCTACTCATCATGCTGTATTGTTGCTTTATTATTTTTTTATTAAAAATATGTTTTTTAAATGTTTGAGAGAGAGACACACACACGCGCGCACACACACACGCATACGCGTGAGTGGGGGAGGGGCAGAGAGAGAGGGAGACACAGAATGTGAAGCCGGCTCCAGCCTCTGAGCTGTCAGCACAGAGCCTGATGTGGAGCTCGAACTCTTGGACTGTGAGATCATGACCTGAGCTGAAGTCGGATGCTTAACCGATTGAGCCACCCAGCTGCCCCTGTATTGTTGCTTTATTATTAACTTTGCAAGCGTTAAAGGTTCTTTTCATTTCGATTTGGGTTTGCTGAAGAAATACGAGAAATTAGAAATACGAGGTTGATATTTTATTCCATTGGGAACTGTTATTGAACACGCATGTGCCAGGTCCCAGGTGAGGAGTTGAGGACTGGACATCTGAATGAGTTAATATTTTCAATGTGTTTCATGAAGGTTGCTAGGGTTTCCTTTTTTACCTCCCACACCCCAGTTTCCTATTAGCATAGGGGAGAAAATAAAAAGTCATGAACTGGATGTAGTAACTACAAATAGACATAAAGAAATTAGGTTGATTTGTGGATGAACGTACTCCGTGTCCTTGAACATTTGTTGTTTCAATCAGTGTAATTCAGATTTGAAGAAAAGCAAGCTTTAGTTAGCCTAAGTGGATAAAAAAGAATTAGATTTTGAATTACAGATTTATATCTGTATTCTAAGCTTTTCTGTTTTGTGACGCACATAAGAAGTATATATATTTTTTATTTAAAAAATCTTTTTTAATGTTTATTTTTTGAGAGAGCACAAGTTGGGGAGGGACAGAGAGAGACACACACAGAATCTGATTTTTTTTTAATGTTTGTTTTTGTTTAATTTTTGAACTTTTTTTTTTAATTTTTTTAATTTTTGGGACAGAGAGAGACAGAGCATGAACGGGGGAGGGGCAGAGAGAGAGGGAGACGCAGAATTGGAAACAGGCTCCAGGCTCTGAGCTGTCAGCACAGAGCCTGACCCGGGGCTCCAGCCCACAGCCCACGAACTGTGAGATCTTGACCTGAGCTGAAGTTGGATGCTTAACCAAATGAGCCACCCAGGCACCCCAGAAGTATATTTTATGTCAAGATCTGAAACAAAAGTTTCAGGAGACAGTGTCCTGATCCTTACTACTTGTGATACACTGTTGTGTGATGTATTTTGTTAAAAAAAAAAAAAAAAAAGAAAACAAAACCTGGTTGCAACACTATTTGAAATTGCAACACAATTTCACAGCTGATTGGTTTGACCCAGGTTTGAAAAATACTGAATTAGGTAGGGTCACGTGTAGGAGAGCTGAGTTAACTTATGCACGTTTTGAGGATGTTGTTAATTTAAGGTATTTCCATATTTGAAAGTATAGACGGTTTACAGGAGTAGCCCAAAAACTTAGTTTCTACTCGTCAATGTCATCCTGCTTCCCTCTCTCCCTCTCCTTTGCTGAGAATGCTCCTTTATGTTGGGATAGTGAGCAGAACAGTTACTTGTCAGTTTGGATGAGTTGGGAGCTTTTCTGCAGTGCTCTTGCTTACCCCCGGGGAAACCTGTGTGCCCTGGAAACCTGGGAAATGAAGGAAAACAGAAGGACAGCTGCATTTAATTGTGGCTTAAGTGCTCTTGCATTTTTTTTCTTGTTAGTGTCACATTTCCATAGTTATTTTTTATTTTTTATTTTTTTTTCCTGTTTCCATGGAAGAGGCCTCTCCACGTTCAGCCTGTTGCCATCTGTACCGTGGGGAAAGGTTGGCTTGTTACAGTGTGCGGACATTCAGGGTATTTATGAGATTGAGCTTCTGAAAGCACCTTGAGCAAGATGCTGAAGTGTGCAATGTGGTCTAGGGCCTTGGAACGCTGGACTAGATAGGGAGCCCACATTCATGCAACACGTTTCTCTGGAGTGGTGCCAGGAGTTGTGGGAGGGGGAGGTGAGAACCTCCTTCGGCCATGTCCTTGGAAAGTCAGCAGCCTAGGGGGAGCTGATCTGGGTGGTCTGCCTGCAAAGGTTCACACTCCTTTGTTCACACACAAAGGGCACAGACAGGTGTGGGGATGGAAAGCGGGCTCCTGTGGGCTAGCCTGGACTCCAGAGCTGGGGAGGCAGCGGGCCCTGGGGTAGGGGGCCTGCGTTCTGGCTGTAGTAGGGAAAGTGCTGTCCCAAGCTTGAGGAATCCTTCTCTCCTG